AAAACCTAGTACAGGTGGAGGCACGGTCTCTGAAGACACAGTGCTTTGTTTTGGTGCTGGAGATTGAACCCAGGGCCTGTGTGAGCAGGAGGTGTCACATTGCAATAGCGCTCTAGACATGGGGAGCAATCTGGGTAGCACTAGGCCTTCCCCATTAATTCATGGGCGGCGGAGGAGCACCTTAAGGTCACGGGGTCCTTGCCTTCCCAGGAGGCAGTGGGGTAGAACCTAGCAGGGCCCTGACACCTAGAAACACCCACTCCAGGATTGTTTGACTAGTAAACAAAAGCAAGTTTTAGAGATTCAGCTTGACAGCTGAAGAGGCGTGGGGAGCGAGCAGAGGGAGGGGGAGCCAGACACAGAAGGCAAATTCCTTTATTTCATCATTTTATCTGGCGCCAGGTTCCCATCAGCTTGCATCCTCGAGTCTTGGGGGAAACAGGAACGCAGAGATCAGAGATCAGAGATCGAGATGGGTTATCTGGCAGCAGCTGGGACAAGTGGCCTTGCGGAGATAACCCTGGAGCAGGCCTGGAACATTTTTGGGCTTTTACGGGGCTTTGGCAGGGGAGCTGGAGAAGGTGCACCCCCTTTAATCTGATGCCTGGAGAGAGGCTGAGGAAGGGAAGGTGGAGAAGGCCCGACCTATCCCTGGAGATCAGCAAGCACTGCTAGGTCTGGCTGGTTGGTTCTTGCTCTCAAGAACAGGTGTGCGGGTGGGGGGGAGGGCGTGGCTTCCCCCTCAGGTGACAGCGAATCCGGAGCTCAGGACCAGCTGGGGTCCAGGAGAGCCAGGTTCCCAGCCCGACAGCTGCAGAAGCGACTGTGGTTCTGACATCTGGAGCCTTTATGGTTCACGCCCTGGCACGGTGACTTACTTTGCACAACAGCAGGAGCGCCCTGGGGCTGGGATGGGCGTGTCCTCTCCCCGACTCTCCGCCCCTTGTCCCTGCGCTCACCCTCGGGACCGCAGCCTTTATAACTGCGCTGCACAGCGAGGCGAGGGCGCGATCCACCTCCGGACTCCAGGGCTACCGCTGAGCTCTCCGCTGGGGTGAGGAGTGGGGCGCGGGCCGGGCGGACGCCGCGGGGACAGCGCCGGACACACGGGCACAAGCCCAGTCCTTCTAGTTTGACTGACTCAGAATTGGTCTTCTGGGCCTCCCGGGGTAGAATACAGGCAGAGGGTGAGAAGAGCACCAGGGTCCACCCTGCGAACTCTAAGCAGAGGGAATCCTGGCCAGGCAGGAGGAGAGCAGCTCAGGGGTCGCTTTGGAGGAAGAAGAGAAAGGGAGAAAGATATTTGAGGAGGAAGGGCCTGGGCCTGGTGGTGGGGACAGGTGGGAGGAGGTGGGTGGCAGCCGCTGCTGTACCCAGAAGGGAAAGTGTCCGCTTATTTTGTTCTTCGGCTACAAGCAGCCTTTCTGGAGTTTGAAGAATAGACCTAGGAGCCACCACTCTGCTCTGTGAGCGGGGTGGGGAGCGCCAGTATTTCCTCCTCTGGGAAGGAAGAGGCTGCCACACCCCCTTCTCCTTCCCTCGGCTCCCCTCTTTCCTTGGGCACCCACCTTCTTCCGACAGCGAGGTAGTGCTTGGGAAGAGCCTCGATGCCCAAGACGGCCCTCTGGTGCCCTGGGGAAGGGCCAGAAAACAGCCTGGGTCTGTGGCTGCAGGTGACAAGGTTGGAGGGGCTTCCCTGACTTTCTTCCTGGCCCCTTGGCAGGCCAGGGTCCTCCTCAGTGGGTTTGCTCAGCACCACATCCGTTGGAGGGCCCCTCTCAGTCAACCCCTGTAGCAGGTTGTTCCGGAAGGGGGTTCGGTAGCTGTGTCAGATCCAGGCCCGCAGCACAGGGAGGGTGCGGTGCTGTGGAGGGAAGGATGCAGGGGAGGAAGGGTGGAGAGGCAGAACCTAGAGCCAGAAGTGGCTCCTTCAAGGGTGTGGAGCGGGAGGGCTCCTGGGCAGAAAGGACTGAGCAGAACGGTGGGGTGTGGCCTCCTAAGAAGAGCTCTCAACCTGGGGTCCAGGAGCCGGCTTGTCATTAGGCCTGCGCAGGGACACGCACCTATCCTCAGGCGATGGCCTGGGCTCCTCACAAGGGGCCCTGGGGAGACCTCAAGCTCCTTTCCTGTGTTAAGAGTCTAGCTCCTCTATATCTGCACATGTGCCCTTAGGCATCTTGTTTATCTATGTATGTTTGTTTGTTTGTTTGCTTTTGTTTTTTGAGACAGGATCTCCCTATGTAATTCAGGCTGGCTTTGGACTAGCTATGTAGCCCAGGCTGGCCTCAAACTTGTAGGAATCTTCCTGCCTCAGCCTCCCCAATGCTGGGATTATGGGCATGTGTCACCACACCTGGTGTGGCAGTCTTCTTTAGAAGCTGCTTTTAAAATATTCTATTCCTTAGTGGTAAATGAAGATTTACAGACAGTGGAGAAAAATTTTGACTGTGTGATTTTATTCTCCTCATTCTGGGTCCACAGCTATTTAAAAATCTACAGATTGAGCTTGAGGAAATGCTGTGGTATTTACGTACAGTAAAGGATAAATCAGAGGTTTTTATTCAAGGGGGCATTTGACTTTCGGAGTAGCTGTGTTTGTTTCTACTTTTATTCCTGTTTATACAGCACTGGGTTCAGAATATGTGATCTGTACATTTCTTATTTTAGAATTTTGGATTTTCCTTTGTGTTCTAAAATATGCTCAGTTTTTGGTCAATATCCCATGACACAGAAGCAGTTGTGTAAAGCAGTGGTGGAAGACGATGGTCTATGGGCCAGATGTAGCTCACGTTCTCTTTTCTAATCAGGTTTTATGGGAGTGCATGGATGCTCACTTGTCAGCTTGCATGCTGGAAGGGGGTGGCTTACAAAGCTGCTTATTGTCCCTTGGTAGAACATATGTTTGCTGACCACTAATAAAGAGGATCTGAATTATATGATTAACCATAGAGATCTAAAAAGTAATGAAGATAGAGTATTTCCCATGTGGAGTGTCCATAAAACATTTATAAACATGTACTATAATATTACTCATTTTGTGTATTTCATCTGCCAAGGATTTATAATGAAATATTTAAAGTCTTTAAAGTCTTTATTTTGGTTTCTCCTCTATTGATAGTTTTTGTTTTAATATTTTAGTGCTACATTACTTGGTGCATGAAAGTTAATGATGGTTTTATCTTCAACATGGTATTCCTAATCATGAAGCAAGCTTTTGGGTCCATATAATACCTTTTTTTGTCTTGTCTACAACTTTGTGTGTCACTCAAATCTCAATTCCTGCTTAATTCTTTTATCTTCAGCAGGCTATTTAACTTTGTGCCTGACTCATAATGCCTGTTAGATAAATGGTAATAAATATGAGTATTCTTTCTTTTGCATTAATTTTTTTTTCCTTCACATGTTTCAGTGTTTCTCAATTCCTTTGTTTTAGATGAGGTTCTTGTGGATATAATAATTTAATTTAGTGTTCTCAAAATAAAAGTCACTATTTACATTTATTGCAATAGTAGTTGCTAGCTGTTGTCATCTAATTTTAGGATAAATGATCTGCTCTTCCCCATTTGCCTGTGTATATTGTATTTTTAGATCTACCAGGCAACCAAGTAGATAGTCATGCCATCCACAAGCTTTTAAGGAGAGGTGATAAGTTGACTTTTTTTTTTTGGTACCCGGGATCGAACTCAGGCCCTTGCACTTGTGAGCAGGCAGAACTACTGAGCCAAACCCCCGGCCCCCAGAAGTAATAAGTCTAAATTTGGATTTATTATATCTAATGTAAATGTTTTATCCTTAATTTTTAAAAATGTCATGTTCCTTGAAGGGGCTTGGCACGTGTACACAACATAACTTCCCCTCCTTTAATCTCATTTCCCGCCTCCTCTCCTTTCCCTCCTCCTCTAGGTTCCCTTCTATTTTGAAATCTGTGTTTAAACGAGTGAATTTGAGGAGATTTCAGATATCAGTAGATGACTTCGCTTTATTCTCCTATTTGCCGGAAATTTCATGTCTCAGAATTCTGACCCTAGGAGACTAGGAAGCTTCATTCAGAATCTTAAGTTAAAAAATGATTTCCAATTATTTTATTTTATATTCAGATTAAAGTTTGCATGCTCTGTTCAGAATGGCCAGAAGATAGTAATGTGCCCAGGAAACTGCCCGGAAGTGAGGAAAGTGGAATGAACGTTGTCATGACACTTGTTTTGGCCTGCCTGCAGTGCCGTGGTGGTTTATTTTCTCTCAGTAACTATGGAAACTCAACTCAGTGGTGCTGGTCATACGCCACTCATCTGATGTTGTCATGATGCATCAATCTTATGTCATCAGAACTGGGGTGGCTGCTCAGAACAGGGGATCTCAGAGATTTCTCTGTGTATATTTTCCCCTAGAACTAACTAATCCTTCATCAGGGGCACAGAAATTCCTGTGGGACTCCTCCCTAAGAAGAATTTAGCCTGGGCAAAAATACGAGGATTAGCCTCAGTGTAATTCATCCTCAAAAGCTTTTCCTCCCCATTACTCAAACTTGCTAATAAATAACTTGCTTTGGGTAAATATTCAGTGGACGCTCTCAGTCCAAAATATTTGCTCAGCAACCACTGTGCAAAGCACGGAGCGAGGAGGGTGCCAAAAAACAGGTCTGTTTTATTCTCTTATGAAGCTTGTTGCCTGATAGGCTAGACAGCCCTGGTACTGACTCATTACACACGTTCAAAAAATGGAAGTGTGTTCAAAAAACATGGTGAATGTTTCAATTAAAAAAATTAGAATCAAATTCCTCTCCAGATAGAAAATGCTCTTGGAAGATTCACATGCTTTTAAGCATCACATAGTCTCGAGGAAATGATTTAATTTCTTTGTGCCTCAGTTTCCTCAGCTGTAAAAAGGGGGCACAATAGTAGGTCTGTTGTAAAGATTAAATGAAAGCGTACGGGGTTCAGAGTAAACCCTCAGGAAGACTTAGCCCTTGTCATTTCTAGACGGCTCCATTTGCATGTCCTGCATTTGTCTCCGGTCCAACCTCCCCGCCTCCCGTGGGATGATGGCGGCACTCAGGTGCCTAAACTGGAAGTCTAGGAATTAGCCTGCTTTCTTCCATGTCTCAGGTCCTCCCTCTTCTGCCTTCATACAAAGCGTCTGCTGTTCTGTTTGTTCTTCTTTCTTGCCCTTTCTCCTGGGGTTCCTCTCTAAAGTGCCCCGGCTTGAGGTAGGACAGGTTTTCCACATGCACCCAGCGTTCCCTGTGCTCTGTGATCCCTACGTTGTCTGTTGCTGTGACCGATGCCACGTGTCCCCAAAGAGTCGTGGCCGCACTGATGCACATGGTGTGCACACTTAGCATGGTGCCCGGCGCAAACTACACGTTTAAATGCTTCTTGATTGAAAGGAAGAGTGACAAGAAATGTAGGATTGCTTGTTTAGGAGACTTCTCAGCAAGCAAGAGCTTTACTCTGATGGGGTAAATGGAGAGAGGCTGGGGGAAGGGAGAACAGCTTTAGGGAGCAGGGCTTTAGGGTGGGGAGATGGAGTGAAAGACTGGATCATGACTGTCACTCTTCACGGCACAGTCCCCTTCTCCTGTGACCCTGAACATATAGCTTCATCTCTCCAGGAGTAGTCCTATAAACAGAGTGCAGGGATATTAAATTTGATAATATGTGTAAAAACATCTAACAATATGTGGTGCTAAAACATAAACACTCAGCCAAGCCCCTGGCTCAGGATGTGTGTGGTAGGAGTTGTCATTATCTTTGCTTGTCACGATATTGTGACTAATGCCCCCCCCCCATACTAGGGATCGAACTCGGGTCCTTGTGCTTGTGAGACAGGTGGCAGAATCACTAAGCTAAATCCCCGACCCATGACTACTGTTATTACTACTGATTAAATGATGGATTTGAGAATAGAGGAAAATATTGAAACCCTAGAAAATCACAAATTTATTTGGCTGAGATGATGGAAAGGCTCAGTTTCAACAAACACTCAAGTTACTTAATGTCATTCCCAAGGCAGTCTTAAGAGGAAGGTCTTTGTTTTTAGAGGACAGAATGAGGT